CTGTGAGAATCTACTTCAGGAAAGAGAAACATATTGAATGATTCACTTGGGCACAAGGCGAGGCTATATATAGGCTCGACACAGTAACCCTCGTGCTACTAGAAGGTTCCGTGATCGCGAAGCATCTTGAACGGGTCCTTCTCGAAAAGAAGGCAACTCGGTAGAAGGCAACTCGGTGGCAACCGAAAAGTCTGGAATTCGGTGCACTCAACCTAGTTCGGTACCTATTTCTATAATAACTAAAGTTCAGCAACGAAGCTAGGAAATCAAGCAAAATAATGGAAGATAAAATAAAGCTAAGCTAGATAATGCACAAAAAAGCACAATGAAGCGAGTAAAGTCCAGTAAATTTGTCGTACTCTCACACGTCCCCCTCTCAAAGCAATGTAGTGTTAGATACACCCTGCTTGAGAAGATAATCCTTGAGAGCGCAACGTGCGTTGCCGATATCAGCTTTTGCAACCCAACTATCTGTTGGTGTAAGGGCCTTATAAATTCAAGCTATTAAGACTTTATCAAACTTAAAACCTCTCCTCAGGGTCACCTCCAAGGGTCCTTGGGTGCCTGGTACAAGACCAGCCCCTATCCTCGGTTCTGAGTTTGTAGAGAGAGGGATCAAGAATGACTTGGTCAAAATAACAAGAGTACCTTGAACGTCGCGCAGCGTATCGTGCAAACCGTCGACCGGATTAAGCTGATAATTTCCTATATCGAAGCTTACTCCAAGAGCTTAAAAATAAGCCAAGTTGCATCGCGAAAAGTTCTGCCATTACGAAGTTATGGCTCAGACAGCATTTGCCTAGCGTTGGAGTGCTAGCGTACTAGCTTTGACTCGGGTAGCATTCCGCCGTCGCACCGCGTAGAAAGGAAATTCCAGCAAGGAAGGAATTCGCTTGAATCAAATTGACTATATTCAGGTACAAACAGAGAAGGAATATATAGTTCTAGCTAGCAAGGACGTTGGGAATAAACCTAGGAACAACTAGGGATGATTCCAAATAATTCCAAGCAACAGAACCAGCCTGGCTGGACAAAACAGCAGGTGGTAGGTTGGTAAAGAACCTCTGGTTCTGTTTTTCCAACCTCGGAAAACAACAACCAGGTTCAGGTCCTAAAAACAGAACCTGTTTTGTCTTTGCCCAACCAGCCAAATGCTGGTTCCGCTGGTTTCCCCTGGCCCTGTAGCAAGCAGATAAAGACAAACAACATCCAACCTTCACCTAAATTGTACCCCTATAGTGCCTGCCCTGCTACACTATGGTCAACCAAACAAAACAGTACAATTCCGAGTTGGATAGAACTGAATCTGCACAATCAATTCAACCGAACCGCAAAGCTTCCATCTTGGGTTCCTTTACGAGCTCGTCCTTTCTGCTTATACTGTTCATAGCGCGTACAATGTTGTGCCGAAGCGCATAATGCGCGAGTACCTGCAAATGCTTCAAGCGAAAATTGCGAAAGCAAACAAACACACGAACATACCATTCACGCGCAAATGCATTCGCATACGCATACTCGTACAAACAGACGGCAGGTTGTCGTGCAATGTGAATTTGCACCCAACACACTCCCCCTCAGCCTGCCGGCTGCATCCCTATCATTCCGTACTAGTTCATGCTCATTCCACTCATCCGCACACAACGCCAACGACGCTCATCCGCAAGCCTCTTGGTGAGGAAGTTTGCTGGCTGCTGGTGAGTCTTGATGTAGATCGGATTCACCGTCCCCCTCTTCACCTCCTTACGCAGCTAGTGCCACTTGATACGCATGTGCTTGTTCAGCCCATGAAGCACAGCGTTTCTGGCCATCCCAAGAGCTCCATTGCTATCACAAAACAGCGGCGTAGTAACCTTTTGCTCCTGGCCAATCTCCTCTAACAGCCTCCTCACCCAAATCACCTCATTCACCCCATGGAACATCGCCATGTACTCTGATTCCACAGAAGAGAGTGCTGGCTCCGTCTGCTTCTTTGACCTCCAACTAACAGGTCCTCCCCCAACTACACAGATGTAACCTTCCACAGATGAGGAATCCTCCTTCTCAGAGGCCCACGTAGCATCGGGAAAGCAAGTGAGATAGAGCTTGCCTTCTCCAAGCCTCTCCCCCTTCTCTTTCAGCATCTCAACTCCTTTCTGCTTCACTTGTGCAGATGCGGAGTATTGAACTCCAATGCTTGGGTGAGAAATCAGATACTTCACCACACGTTCAGCTGCACCCACCTGCTCCTCTGATGGATTCTGCACCACCCTAGCCAGCTGCCCAACCGAGAAAGAGATGTCGGGCCTTGTGTGAACTGCTGCATACAAGAGGCTGCCCACCAAGGACTGAAATTGCTGCTGCTCCTCGGCTTCAACCCCTTCATCCTCTGCAGCTTTCACAAGCTTGAATTCTGCTGGCAGGGGAGTTGCAAATTTGCGCTAATTCTCAATCCCTTACTTCTCCCCCAGCTCCTTGATGAACTTTTCATGGTGCAGCTTCAACCACCTGTGATCCAGATCCCTCTCTAATGCATCCTGAGATAGTACTTTACCTCCCCCAGGTTCTTGCACTTGAAGTTCTCCATCAGCTGCTGCTGCACCTTCTGGATCTCCTTCATGCTGCTGCTAAAGAGAAGAATGTCGTCCACATAGACCAGAAACAGCACCAGCTTCTCCCCCTCCCCTTTGAGAAAGAGGCTCTCATCACAGCTGCTGGTCCTGAATCCCATCTCCTCTAAAACAGCTGCCAACTTGTGGTACCAGCAGCGTGGCGCCTGTTTCAAGCTGTAGATGGATTTTTTCAGCTTGCACACCCTGCCCGTACCATCGTCATACTCAGGCGGCTGCGTCATGAACACATCCTCCTCTAAAATCTCATTGAGGAATGCCGTTGATATATCCATCTGAATGTAAATTTCCCACTAACGGTTGCATCTGCCAACAAGACACGGAGGGTAGGGGGTTTGGCAGTGGGAGCTGTTGGGTGCAAATTCTCATTGCACGACATCCTGCCGTCTGTTTGTACGAGTATGCGTGTGGGAATGCATTTGCGTGTGAATGGTATGTTCGTGTGTTTGTTTGCTTTCGCAATTTTCGCTTGAAGCATTTGCAGGTACTCGCACAATGTGCGCTTCGGCATAACATTGTACGCACAATGTGCGCTTCGGCATAACATTGTAGGCAACTTGGCTTATTTTAAAGCTCTTAGAGTGAGCTTCGATATAGTAAATTCTCAGCTTAATCCGATCTACGGTCTGCACGATACGCTGCGCGATGTTCAAGGTACTTTTGCTGTTTTGACGAAGTCCCTCTTTATCCCTCTCTCTACAAACTCGGACCCGAGGATAGGGGCTGGTCTTGTACCAGGCACCCAAGGACCCTTGGAGGTGACCCCGAGGAGAGGTTTTAAGTATGATAAAGTCTTAATAGCTTGAGTTTATTAGGCCCTTACACCAACAAGCTGGTATCAGAGCTGCGTTATAGTGATCCTCGATATAGGTAGCTATGGCGGGGAACACCTCGGCGGTAGCTGGTGAATCTTCAGCCCAAGATCGTAGCGGCAGCCATGATTCTGGTGTTTCTGCGCCAAGGGGAGCGCGAACAAGCCAGGGCTCGCTGATCAAGAAGGTGCTGAAAAACTTCACCGTCGAGAAGCTCAATGGTGAGGGCTATGATGATTGGGCCTGGAAAATGCAACTTTATTTCCGTCAGGTCGGATTGCTGAAACTAATGATTGGGGAGGGGCCTAGACTGAGTGACCCCGCCCTTCAGGAAGATTGGGACGAGCGCGCCTCGGCTGGCTACTACTTGATGTCGCAGAGTTTGGAGCTGAACCAGCGTCACCACGTCATGCACCTGCTGCCGGAGGTTGAGTGCGGTCCGAAGGCGTGGACCGTGTTGAAGGAGCTGCACGCCCCGACCTCCGTTGTTGCAACATTGATGCTGGAGAGGGAGCTGTCCGCGTTGCGCCTGAGCGAGGGAGAGCCGGTGCAACCTGTCCTGGACAAATTGCGCGACCTCTACGCGAAGTTGGCGACCGCGGGAATCACCTACCCGGAGCAGACCAAGTGCCTGAAGATGCTCTCGCTGCTGCCGGAATCGTGGCTTCAATTCACGAGCGGATTGAGCCTGCCGCAGAACCAGAGCTCGTGGACACTCGAGTGGGTGCGGACGAAGATTCTGGAGGAGGACTTCCGTCGCCGTCAACTGAGGGGTGGAGACGACGGCAGCAGCGGCTACGGGATGCAAGGGAGCCGACGTGGCAAAGGACGTGGCTTCGGTGGTGCTGGACGCGGTGCAAAGAAAGACGACGACTCCAACAACCAACAAGGAGGTACCGGTTGGGGTCGCGGTGCGAAATCTGGACGTGGGGGCAAGTCGGGTGCTGGTGGCAAAATGAAAGGGAGTTGCTGGTATTGTGAGAAAGAAGGGCACCCCTGGTTTTTGAGCTATAAGAAACCCGATGGATGGACCCCCCAGAATCGTCACCAGGATGGCGGCGCGCGGAGGAACCAGAAAAACGGCGCCAACATGGTCGCTGATTCGTCCGACAACAACCCGAAGGGCAACGGTGGTGCGGAAAGGAAGAAGGAGCGCACCGCGGGCCAATTCTTCCATATGGGAGACAAGGGGGAGCAAGGAGACGCATCTGCTAAGGCTGGAGCAGAGCTGCACCCCCTGGATTATTGGGTGTTGGACACAGGCGCTGCTTGGACAATGACGCCGCGCAAGGACCTGCAGGACGACGTACGAGCTGCTCCGATGAACGAGGTGTGCTCCGCCTCTGGACACGCGCTGAAGGTGGCTGGTGCGGGACGAGCTGCGTTTAAGGGAGCGGATGGCAAGCCGGTGGTGCTGCACGACGTTCTTCTTGTTCCTGAACTTAAGGCCAACCTCATCTCCCTCCGTAAGCTTGGCAAGTCTGGGGTGAGCACTAGCACGGATGGGGCACGCACTTATAAGGGGAAGCTGGGCAATCGGGTGCTTTGGGATCTACACGAGAGCAAGGACGTGTACAGATCTATGTGGCAGCTGCCGGCGCTGGCGTGGCACGGTGGGGGGCAGGCTGGAGAGGGGTCTGCATCCCAGGGGGAGTGCAACGCCGTTGGAGGGGCTGGTGTGAAAGTGTCGGCCAGATCTGGGGAGACAGATTGGGCAACTGCACACCGACGTTTGGGGCATGTGGCAATGCCTTTGCTGAAGCAGCTGGAGAAGGATGGAGCCGTTAAGGGCTTAAAGCTGAACGGACAACCACCCGATGATAACTGTGAAATTTGCCTCCTTTCAAAGTTCACCAGTTTCCCCTTCCATAGTGTGGCTGGCAGGAGCAAAAAGCCGTTGGAGCTGGTCCACATGGACTTGGTGGGGCCGCTGCCGGTGCAAGGGCACAAGGGGAAGCGGTACTTCCTAACCATAGTGGATGACTGGAGCAGGCTAATGTGGGCGTATCCGCTGAAGCAGAAAGATCACGCCGCCTCCACGATTCGGGACGATTGGCTGCCGTTCGTGGAGAAGCAAGCGGAGTGTGTGGTGAAGCGGATTAGGACAGATCAGGGTGGTGAGTTCCTTGGAGCTGAGATGACGGCCTGGCTCAAGAAGCAGGGCATCCAGAGGGAGCTGACCACGGCTTACACCCCACAGTCCAACGGTGTAGCAGAACGGGCGAACCGGACAATTCTGGAGACAGCTAGGGCGCTGCTCATAGAATCTGGGCTGGGCAACTTGATGTGGCCCCATGCTGTTCGGCACGCTACCGTCGCTAGGAACAGGGTACTCACAAAGGTTGGGTATGACTCGTGGGTGCCGTTGGAGAGGTGGCTTGGGAGGAAGCCGCCGGTGGACATGCTGAGGGTGTTCGGTTGCATGGCAGTCGCCCACGTCCCCAAGACCTACCGCAGTAAGTTGGGGGCGAGTGCAATCTGGTGTGTGCATTTGGGGCTGGCTGCTGAGAGCAAGGGATGGCTGCTGTGGGAGCCTTCCAAGGGTGTGTTTTTTGACAGCAGGGATGTGAAGTTTGTTGAGGGCATGATGTATGGGAGCTGGGAGAAACAGCCGGAGGCCAGGGTGTCCCAGCAGATGGAGCAGATCACCATGCAGCTGGACCTGACTCCTAGTGTGTGGGAGGAGGGAGAGGAGGCAGCTGCAGAGGGTGGTGATAAAGAGAAGGTGCAGGAGGCACCTGCTGGTGGAGGTGATGGTGTGGAGACTAGCGGTAGCACTAGTGGAGCTGCTGGATCCGAGGGAGGAGAGCAGCAGCAGGGAAAAACTAAGAAGCCGAAGGGTGTCGTTATGAAGGGATGGGAGACACCCGTCTCCAGGCCAGGACGTACCCGTATGGCTACTAAGAAGCTGACTGCAGGAGCTGATGTAGCGGAGCAGCAGCTTGGGACTGAGGAGGCATTGCTGATTCTACCGCATGGCTATGACCCGGATGAGGAGGATGAACCTGCGTACTGTTTTCTTGCCCCTGCACCAGAGGAACCAGCTAGCATGGAGGAGGCATTAGCTGGACCAGATAGGGACAAATGGCTAGCTTCTAGGGATGCTGAGTACCAGAGCCTGCTGGAGAATGGGACTTGGGAACTAGTGGTGCTGCCCGAGGGAAAGAAAGCGGTACAATGCAAATGGGTGCTAAGGATCAAGACTGACGACAAAGGGCAGGTCACCATCTACAAGAGTAGGTTGGTGGCTAAGGGGTTTATGCAGAAGGAGAAGCGGGACTTCAATGAGATCTTTGCTCCCACTGCCAAACCCCCTACCCTTCGTGTCTTGTTGGCAGATGCTGCCGTTAGTGGGAAGTTCATTATCCAGATGGACATATCAACGGCATTTCTCAACGGGATTTTAGAGGAGGAGGTGTTCATGACGCAGCCACCTGGGTATAAGGATGGTACGGGCAGGGTGTGCAAGCTGAAAAAGTCCATCTACGGCTTGAAGCAGGCGCCACGCTGCTGGTACCAGAAGTTGGCAGCTGTTGTAGAGGAGATGGGATTCAGGACCAGCAGCTGTGATGAGAGCCTCTTTCTCAAGGGGGAGGGGGAGAAGCTGGTGCTGTTTCTGGTCTATGTGGACGACATTCTTCTCTCACCGGCTGCTGGTGAGTCTTGATGTAGATCGGATTCACCGTCCCCCTCCTCACCTCCTTACGCAACCAGTGCCACCTGACACGCATGTCCTTATTGAGCCCATGAAGCACAGCGTTCCTGGCCATCCCAAGAGCTCCCTTGCTATCACAAAACAGCGGCCTAGCAACCTTTTGCTCCTGGCCAATCTCCTCTAATAGCCTCCTCAGCCAAATCACCTCCTTCACCCCATGGAACATCGCCATGTACTCTGATTCCACAGAAGAGAGTGCTGTCTCCGTCTGCTTCTTTGACCTCCAACTAACCGGTCCTCCTCCAACTACGCAGATGTATCCTCCCACAGATGAGGAATCCTCTTTCTCAGAGGCCCACGTAGCATCGGTAAAGCAAGTGAGAAAAAGCTTGCCTTCTCCAAGCCTCTCCCCCTTCTCTTTCAGCACCTCAACCCCTTTCTGCTTCACCTGTGCAGATGCGGAGTATTGAACTCCAATGCTTGGGTGAGAGTTCAGATACTTCACCACACGCTCAGCTGCATCCACCTGCTCCTCTGATGGATTCTGCACCACCCTAGCAAGCTGCCCAACCGAGAAAGAGATGTCGGGCCTCGTGTGAACTGCTGCATACAAGAGGCTGCCCACCAAGGACTGAAATTGCTGCTGCTCCTCGACTTCAACCCCTTCATCCTCTGCAGCTTTCACAAGCTTGAATTCTGCTGGCAGGGGAGTTGCAACCTTGCGCTCATTCTCAATCCCGTACTTCTCCCCAAGCTCCTTGATGAACTTCTCCTGGTGCAGCTTCAACCACGTGTGATCCAGATCCCTCTCCACGTGCATCCCAAGGTAGTACTTTACCTCCCCAAGGTTCTTGCACTTGAAGTTCTCCATCAGCTGCTGCTGCACCTTCTGGATCTCCTTCATGCTGCTGCTAAAGAGAAGAATGTCGTCCACATAGACCAGAAACAGCACCAGCTTCTCCCCCTCCCCCTTGAGAAAGAGGCTCTCATCACAGCTGCTGGTCCTGAATCCCATCTCCTCTAAAACAGCTGCCAACTTCTGGTACCAGCAGCGTGGCGCCTGTTTCAAGCCGTAGATGGACTTTTTCAGCTTGCACACCCTGCCCGTACCATCCTCATACCCAGGTGGCTGGGTCATGAACACCTCCTCCTCTAAAATCTCATGGAGGAATGCCGTTGATATGTCCATCTGGATAATGAACTTCCCACTAACGGCTGCATCTGCCAACAAGACACGAAGGGTAGGGGGTTTGGCAGTGGGAGCAAAGATCTCATTGAAGTCCCGCTTCTCCTTCTGCATAAACCCCTTAGCCACCAACCTACTCTTGTAGATGGTGACCTGCCCCTTGTCGTCAGTCTTGATCCTTAGCACCCACTTGCATTGTACCGCTTTCTTTCCCTCAGGCAGCACCACTAGTTCCCAAGTCCCATTCTCCAGCAGGCTTTGGTACTCAGCATCCCTAGAAGCTAGCCATTTGTCCCTATCTGGTCCAGCTAAAGCCTCCTCCATGCTAGCTGGTTCCTCTGGTGCAGGGGCAAGAAAACAGTACGCAGGTTCATCCTCCTCATCCGGGTCATAGCCATGCGGTAGAATCAGCAATGCCTCCTCGGTCCCAAGCTGCTGCTCTGCTACATCAGCTCCTGCAGTCAGCTTCTTAGTAGCCATACGGGTACGTCCTAGCCTGGAGACGGGTGTCTCCCATCCCTTCATAACGACACCCTTCGGCTTCTTAGTTTTCCCCTGCTGCTGCTCTCCTCCCTCGGATCCAGCAGCTCCACTAGTGCTACCGCTAGTCTCCACACCATCATTTTCTCCACCAGCAGGTACCTCCCGTACCTTCTTTCCATCACCACCCTCTGCAGCTGCCTCCTCTCCCTCCTCCCACACACTAGGAGTCAGGTCCAGCTGCATGGTGATCTGCTCCATTTGCTGGGACACCCTGGCCTCCGGCTGTTTCTCCCAGCTCCCATACATCATGCCCTCAACAAACTTCACATCCCTGCTGTCAAACAACACACCCTTGGAAGGTTCCCACAGCAGCCATCCCTTGCTCTCAGCAGCCAGCCCCAAATGCACACACCAGATTGCACTCGCCCCCAACTTACTGCGGTAGGTCTTGGGGACGTGGGCGACTGCCATGCAACCGAACACCCTCAGCATGTCCACCGGCGGCTTCCTCCCAAGCCACCTCTCCAACGGCACCCACGAGTCATCCCCAACATTTGTGAGTACCCTGTTCCTAGCGACGGTAGCGTGCCGAACAGCATGGGGCCACATCAAGTTGCCCAGCCCAGATTCTATGAGCAGCGCCCTAGCTGTCTCCAGAATTGTCCGGTTCGCCCGTTCTGCTACACCGTTGGACTGTGGGGTGTAAGCCGTGGTCAGCTCCCTCTGGATGCCCTGCTTCTTGAGCCAGGCCGTCATCTCAGCTCCAAGGAACTCACCACCCAGATCTGTCCTAATCCGCTTCACCACACACCCCGCTTGCTTCTCCACGAACGGCAGCCAATCGTCCCGAATCGTGGAGGCGGCGTGATCTTTCTGCTTCAGCGGATACGCCCACATTAGCCTGCTCGAGTCATCCACTATGGTTAGGAAGTACCGCTCCCCCTTGTGCCCTTGCACCGGCAGCGGCCCCACCAAGTCCATGTGGACCAGCTCCAACGGCTTTTTGCTCCTGCCAGCCACACTATGGAAGGGGAAACGGGTGAACTTTGAAAGGAGGCAAATTTCACAGTTATCATCGGGTGGTTGTCCGTTCAGCTTCAAGCCCTTAACGGCTCCATCCTTCTCCAGCTGCTTCAGCAAAGGCATTGCCACATGCCCCAAACATCGGTATGCAGTTGCCCAATCTGTCTCCCCAGATCTGGCCGACACTTTCACACCAACCCCTCCAACGGCGTTGCACTCCCCCTGGGATGCAGACCCCTCTCCAGCCTGCCCCCCACCGTTCCACGCCAGCGCCGGCAGCTGCCACATAGATCTGTACACGTCCTTGCTCTCGTGCAGATCCCAAAGCACCCGATTGCCCAGCTTCCCCTTATAAGTGCGAGCCCCATCCGTGCTACTGCTCACCCCAGACTTGCCAAGCTTACGGAGGGAGATGAGGTTGGCCTTCAGTTCAGGAACAAGAAGAACGTCGTGCAGCACCACCGGCTTGCCATCCGGTCCCTTAAACGCAGCTCGTCCCGCACCAGCCACCTTCAACATGTGTCCAGAGGCAGAGCACACCTCATTAATCGGTGCAGCGCGTACGTCGTCCAGCAGGTCCTTGCGCGGCGTCATTGTCCAAGCAGCGCCTGTGTCCAACACCCAATAGTCCAAGGGGTGCAGCTCTGCTCCAACCTTAGCAGATGCGTCTCCTTGCTCCCCCTTGTCTCCCACATGGAAGAATTGGCCCGCGGTGCGCTCCTTCTTCTTCTCCGCACCGCCGTTGCCCTTCGGGTTGTTGTCGGACGAATCAGCGACCATGTTGGCGCCGTTTTTCTGGTTCCTCTGCGCGCCGCCAATCTTTCCGTAACGTGAAGGCGGCGTGGTCCTTTTGCTTCAGCGGATACGCCCACATGAGTCTGCTCCAATCATCCACAATGGTTAGGAAATACCGCTCCCCCTTGTGCCCCTGAACCAGCAGCGGCCCCACCAAGTGCATGTGGACCAGCTCCAATGGCTTCTTGCTCCTGCCAGCCACACTATGGAAGGGGAAACGGGTAAACAGAGCAAACAAATCTCACAGCTATCATCGGGTGGCTGTCCGTTCAGCCTCAGACCCTTAACGGCTCCATCTTTCTCTAGCTGCTTCAACAAGGGCATTGCCACATGCCCCAAGCGTCGGTGTGCCGTTGCCCAATCCGTCTCCCCAGATCTGGCTGACACTTTCACACCAACCCCTCCAACGGCGTTGCACTCCCCCTGGGATGTAGACCCCTCTCCAGCCTGCCCCCCACCGTGCCACGCCAATGCCGACAGCTGTCATATGGATCTGTACACGTCGTTGCTCTTGTGCAGATCCCAAAGCACCCAACTGCCCAGCTTCCCCTTGTACGTGCGTGCCCCATCCGTGCTAGTGCTCACCCCAGCCTTGCCCAAGCTTAGGGAGGGAGATGAGGTTGGCCTTGAGTTCAGGAACAAGGAGAACGTCGTGCAGCACCACCGACTTGCCGTCCGCTCCCTTAAACGCAGCTCGTCCCGCACCAGCCACGTTCAGCGCATGTCCAGAGGCAGATCACACCTCATTGATCGGTGCAGCGCGTACGTCGTCCAGCAGGTCATTGAGCGGCGTCATTGTCCAAGCAGCGCCCGTGTCCAAAACCCAATAGTACAGGGGGTGCAGTGTCCCTCCTCACAATACCAGCAACTCCCTTTCATTTTGCCACCAGCACCCGACTTGCCCCCACGTCCAGATTTCGCACCGCGACCCCAACCGGTACCTCCTTGTTGGTAGTTGGAGTTGTTTTCTTTCTTTGCACCGCGTCCAGCACCACCAAAGCCACGTCCTCTGCCACGTCGGCTCCATTGCATCCCATAGCCGCTGCTGCCGTCGTCTCCACCCCTTAGTTGGCGGCGACGGAAGTCCTCCTCCAGAATCTTTGTCCGCACCCACTCGAGTGACCACGAGCTCTGGTTCTGCTGCAGGCTCAATCCGCTCGTGTAACTTGACCATTCCGCTCAGTTCAAAGAGTGCTGTTATGCCTGATGGGGTAGTCGCTTTGTGAGGAAGTCGGCTGCCACGTCACCAGTTTGGCAATAGGTCAGGTCAACCTTCATCTTTGACGAAGAAATACCGCAGCGGGATGTGCTTGGTGCGGTTGATGAATACCGGCTTGACTGCAATCCTCATTGCACTTTGGTTGTCGTAGTGCAGATGAAAGGTCGGCGAAGTTGGGATTTTCTCCACTTGCAAGAGTTACTGTAGGTAGAGCTCTTCGCAAGCTGCTGCTGTTGCGATGATGAACATTGCTTTCACCGATGACCGGGCAACCAATTCTTGCTTCTGCGAGTTCCACGAGATGGGGCTTGTCGGCTCAAATCAGAATAAGAACCCGGTCCTTCAGTATCGATTGTCGGGATCAGCGGCGTGATCAGTGTCTACGTAGCCGATGAGGTTGAATGAGAGAGTTGTGACTGTGGAGTAGCATAGCCCAAAGTTGTGCGTGTAGATGAAAAACTGCAGAGCGCGTTCAAGGTCTAGGAGATTCTCGGCCGTTGGTTTGCGAGAGAACTGAGCCAGGTGGCTTGCGTTGTAGTGATCTGGTCTGCAGGCCATTGATGCAAAGAGCAGGCATCCCAGCTGCTGCTCGTAAGTGTGAATTTTTTTTTGGGATAGGGCATTGTTGTGCAGTTTGTGGTTCGGTGTAGGCGTGCGGTAGGGAATTGAGAGTGGTGCGGGAGAGATGTGGAACCGCTTCCCAAGTGTTTCAGTGTGCTTAGCAGCTGAGAGGTGAATGACTGCAGGGGCGTAAGAGATATTAA